AGGCAGGGATGCTTAACGATGTCACCGGTAATGAATTCGAATTTGTGTAAGCACTTATACGGACTCGGAATTTTACTCGGAATAAGTACAAGTCTATCACAACCAAAACTATTCACTCGGATCCCTCTCATATAAAGTGTTCAAAGTGAAAATTTGAGAAACCTCAAGCACTTTTTCCTTTTTAATTCTGTCAACAGCATCTTTACCGTCACCATGATGAACCAGTCTCGTGCCAAGCGACCGGCCCTGCGCCAGACCGTATCACCGCGAAGCAAGCGGTCTAAGGCCTCCGCCAAAGGTGAGTTAAGTCATATCCAATACAGGGTGAGTCATATAAGAAACGAAACCCAAATGTCGGGACTATTGTTTTAGTGAAGTTCTGTTTCAGTGAAAATCTATTTTCGGGTTGACAGTCGTAAATCTACAATTTTGTTCGCAGCTGCGACACCAGTCACGGACGATCGCCAGTTGCCGTGCGTTTGGGGGCAGCCTTTCCCGGTGAACGGCCAGGGAGTGATGATCTTCAATACGGACCGCCACATGATGCCCTTCTACGCCTGCGTGGAGGACGAGGACCCGAGCGGCAATGTTCTGGCTCTGCACGTCGGCGTGGGCTACGCCTCGTTCGTCATGAACAGCGCCGGAGACGCCAACCCGACCGAGCTGAGGCGGGTCACCGAGGCCGACACGCCCAGGTGCGGGGTGGAGGAAGGCAAGGTGTCGTACTGGTACAGCTACGACCGCGACAACTTGGTGTTGAAGTACGGCAAGGGCTACCGTATGGAGGAGACCACGCTCATGACGCACGACTTCTTGGAGGGGGTCACGGACGAGGAGGACCAGATGAAGATCAGAGAAGACTTGCAGCCGTTCTTCACCGCCGAGGTTCAGAAGTTTGTCAGGCAATACGACGAAAAAGCCAACATGCAGATGTATGCCGGTAAGTATACATTGACTTAGATAGCAATGGAAAAACAAACATTAATATAAACACAAGTTTAACCAGCAAATCATGATCTAACAAAACACTTCATGCTTTACCATCAGGGTAAATTTCAACAGAAACCTAGCAAAATAAAAAAGTGTGCTGAGCAAACTCTGTTGTTTACCAGTGGAATGAAACCAAACTTTTAGATCATGCATGCAAATAAAAGCATGATACATTTTATGGAGTGAGTTTCATCAGCTTTGTACAAGAGGGCGAGATTTAAACGCCATACGAAAAAAAAAATCCTCACTTTCAGAATCTGCCACTTCCGACTTGGCGTCCTCCAATGTCTACATGTCGATCACAACACCTGGAGACGGTGGCGGAAGGCGCTTGCTGTGGCCGAAAGCTTCTAAAGGAATGCAGGATCCCCCTTGATGTCATTGCACACCTCCTCAATCGTTTGGCGAAACTCGCGACCGAGGAGGTGCATGAGCAATGACATCAGGGGCGATCCTGCATTCTTTCAGGAGCTTTCGGCCACAGCACGCGTCTTCCGCCACCGCCTCCAGTGCTGTATCGACATTCTGAAGGTGATTTTTGTTTCATACGGCGTATGATAAACAACAGTTTTTATTTATGAGTTATGTTACAGTTATAGGATCGAAAGTAGGACATGTTATTTTTTACTCGTATTACATGTCTTTGCCGGGTTATTGTCGGTACCGAGCACATTGTTTTATGTCCGGGAATTAGGCCTGGGCTTTTGGCTTTGAATCATAGGGGACTATATACACCAACAAAGGAGGATTCTTTATGGACGAAAATGTGTTTTATTGTGTGGGCTGGGTGGGGATTAATATTAGTTCGCTCGTGCCCGTCAAGTAATAATAATTGAGAGCCTTTGTATTTGTTACAGATGAGACAATTTCTTGAACGTTTCTTTTTAGCAAGGGGAATCGAAGTGACGGAGCCGATGGTTGAATTCGACAAACAGCCTCTCATCTGCAACCTCCCGCCGACAGTCATGGACAGCTCCAAGGCCAACCTGTTCGAGCTGGACAGGGGCGACCACGTCTTCTCTGCCAGCCTGCCGGCGGCCTGCAAAGAGCTGTACTCCAACGTAGCCAACTGCGAGCTGAACTACACGGAGGTAGAGGGGGAGAAGGTGCTACTATCGGACGCCATCCGATACAGCCTGGCCTACGGCATCCTGAAGGACAAGATCGAAAGCAAAGTAGGCGAGCTGGGCGACGACCCAAACGAGACCTACTTGCGCGTCACGCTGGGCAGCAGTCTCGGCAAATCTCCGGGAATCCCGTACGTGCTGGAGATTTGGCCGGGGGGCCATTACAGCCCCATCCACAACCACGGCAACGCCAATGCCGTCATCAAGGTCCTGTTCGGGTCCATCACCATCGATATCTACAACAAGCAGTCGGAGACCAGTTCCCGCGATCCCCTGTTCACGTTCGAGGCGTGCGCGGGAGACGCGACTTGGCTGAACCGCAATTGGTACCAGACCCACAAGCTTCGCAACCCCGGGAAAGAGTACTGCGCCACCATTCAGTGCTACAATTACGACGCTGGTGACACTACGTACTGGCCGTATTTCGATTACGTGAGTGAGAACCAGACCATTGACGAATTCTACCCAGGTTCTGATTTTGGCTTTCTCGAAATGCGTAGTCAGGTCATGAAGGAATACACTGATTTTGTATACGGCACTAGCTCTTAGGCTGCTTGCTCAACTTTTTTTCAGCACGCGATTGACACAAGTTTGGGTTGTTTGTAATTCCTTTAATGTTTGTTTAATTTTTCATCCTATAGGCCTAAAGAATCCTTTGTCATTATAGGGCCTACACTCGTTCAGATTTCATGAAGCTGATTTCGATTAAATTCAGTTTGATTAAATTTGATTGCTTCGGTTCGATTATAAATTGGTCTTAGTTTTAATTTAGCCTGCATTTAGTGTACTTAATTAGATAGATTGGTTTTGACTGGATTGGAGAAAATTAAATATGATATCGTATTATTTTGTAGTTAGTTTGGATGACTTGGTTTGATACGATTTGTAAAAGTTCGATATTATTTTTTTGGCTTTGAATGTTTGTTTGGTTTTGTTTAGTAGCAAAACCTCAATTTTCAGGACAAGGAGTGAGCCTAAGTGTTAATGTAGGCCTAAAGATTTAAAACAAAATACTGTAGGTTCTTTTTTGGTGGTTTTATTTCAATTCTTTTGAGGGTAATTATTATCTCATGTTAATGAATAAGACACACATTAAAGTAATCAGGGACTGGTTTTCCGATAAACCACCCATGATACGCCTGCACCTTAATATTTTCAAAAGATGGAATTTTTGTCGGGGTGATTGATATTGATATTGTGTTTTGCCCTTCACCGACGTATTTACTTTATACTCAGTGTTGTCACGAGTGATTGTGAGAAAAATCCCTTGAGACAATCAACTAAATATTAAAGAAAAAATGGCGGAGATCGGGGGGGGGCGGAATCTGCCCCCTCCCCCGGCTGAGAGATGGTCAAAATAACCCGGCCCTTTTAGGGTTAAAATAGGCACGTGCGCACGTTTCCCTTGGTTCCGGTGCAAGACCACTAGTTTTATTTAGCGCGCCCTTTCTCAAAAGAAACGTTCAGTTGTTGTTTGACGTTTTTCTCACGAAATTGAATCTCCTTATGTAACACATCAAGACCGATCACTGGCCGAACTTACAACTTAATACAGCTGGGCCTGGTGGGCTCGGGTTATTGCCCAAGTAACGAGTGGTTCATGATTTTTCCACGGAGGTTGACTTTCTGTTCTTTCATTCGGTTTGTATTTTTCGCGTTTAAAATATTATATTTCTTTCGGTTATATTCCTTTTTGTTGCTTGACGGTTTCACATCAAATTTAATCTCATAATTTTACACAATCATCATGACAAAACACTGGAGGAAATTTCAATTTTGAAATACAGAACAAACTCGTTTTGGGGGCAACAACTAAAAAAACAATAGAGCCTAGATGTATTTAATTAAAATGTTAAACACCTTGCAGATCTGGAGTTGTGAGTATTTTTTTAATGGAAGTACGTGTAATTATCACTTAGGTCTCTGGGAGTCGATTGCCTAAACTCCATTGCAAAAATAGAGCCATTTGAGGGCCCAATTCCACCCAAATTACAGAAATACAAGCTTGCAGTCACGTGCACGCCTTCTGCCCTTCTTTTCTACAAACTTTCAAGTTATTGGCCCACAAAATGCTCTAATAGTAAGGTATTTGAGGGTACACAAATTGTGATTTGGCTAGCGTAGGCAATTTGGGGCCAATCACAGGTCTGCACACCTAGTGGTCTCGCACGCCTATTAATTTTCTTTCCATAGAGGGCGCGCCGAATAAATAGTGGGTCTCGATGTCCACCACCAAACTCGTTTTGGAGGACAACTCATGAAATACATGATGTAGTAAACTAAATTTTCGTACACTGATTTATCATTATGTTTTACATTGCGAGATTTAATTAATTAAGAAACCGTCAAACAATGAAACAATTATGATCGTAACAACACAATGTTTTAAGCGCGACAAATGCAATCCGAATGGAAGTCAACGTGGATTTTTCGCTTTTAAAACACTACATTGTTACGATCATATTTTATTTATTGTTCCACGGTTTCTCGTGATATTGTAACACATCGTGGAAAATCACTTCACGAAATTTCAATTTAATGCATCCTGTATTTCTTGAGTAGTTTATCTGAAACGAGTTTGTTCTTTTTGTTCAATAGTGCAGCATCCGTGTTGGCGCGTTGTGGAGACCACTATATATGTGGCGCGCCCTCTATTGAACGAAACATAAAGTAGGTACGAGCGCACGTTTGTCTTGATGGTGCGAGACCACTAGTCTTGTTTAGCGCGACATTTCTGGAAAGAAACTTTCAGTTTGACGGTTTCTCACGAAATTTAATCTCCTTATGTAACACATCAAGACCTATCACTGGCCGAGCTTACAACTTAATACAGCTGGCCGGCCTCGTGGGCTCGGGTTATTGCCCAAATAGTGTGCTATTTGCATCGCGGTGGACGTTGAGGGCGACTGATTCCACATCAGTCGCGATTCTGCCGGCCCCGCGATCGGGCGCTTTGGCTATCGGGCTGTCCGATTATGGCCAAATATCTCTCCCCATAGCTCATGTATTGCCGGAACAAGTAGAGGAACAGTGCTGCATGCGGGAACATTCAAGAGGGATGACCCATGGTTAATTTTGTATCCTTAAATGACCAAAAAATATATATATAATTTTAAAAAACGGAGTGTTCAGGTATGTTGTTCATTTGTATACGACATGCCGAGGGTGCAGAATACCCTTGACTTTGCATGGATGCGTGCTCCGGTGCGTGTTTGGGTTTGTTATTTATTTGGTATTATGGAGGGTTTATTTCTGCTTGGCATGGTAGCATCAACTTGTCGATTTTTATGGAATCCATTTTCTTCCATTTTGGATTGGTGAATTCGTCTTGGCTTTGGATTGAGTGGCATACATATCGGATCGGTGCGCATACCTGTAATTCACACGTGCCTTCATTATGGTTCCGCATTATTGCGTTCAGGCGTGGTCCTTTGTTCCTGCGTAGGCGAGGGTGGAGATCGTTTCTTGCACCATAGCACACAGATCGTTTCAAAGATTGCTGAGTGACAACGAAATCATGGCCGACGTTTACGATGCTATAGAGGTTAGTTTGTCTTTGGTTTCAGGCATTCGTTAAAGAGGCAAATACTGGGGGTTTTACGGTTTATAGGGGTTGAGTTTCTCTTTATAGGTTTCAAGAAATTCGTTGTAAATGCATGTTTCTATTTGCATCGCGGTGGACGTTGAGGGCGACTGATTCCACATCAGTCGCGATTCTGCCGGATCGTGCTCGAGGTGAATGGTAAGGAGGTAAGGTGTACCCGTCTATAGAATTTGTAAGTATTGAATTGTTTATACATCTACATGTGTTTCCCGCCCACCCACCCCCAAATAGGCGAAGCGCCCTTTTTTGCGGGCTCAGGTTTTTACGCTTAATCGTTTTACGCCCATACCTGAGACTTGTAGAAGCCAGAGCCCGAAGACAACACAGTGATGCAAATAAAATACTATTGTGAGATCAATATTTTGATCTCCTTTGAAGCTTTCATGCTAGTCTAGGGGCTAGACGCTGTTCTTGTTTGCTACGCCGCGCCGATAACCCGCCACCGCGATAATCGGCCACCGCGATAACCGGCCATCGCGAGAGGGCGCTATCACGACCAACGTATATCACCCACGAACCTGTCAGAACAACGTCTAGGGCAACCTCGTGCCCCGTGGGTACGATCTTGCAGAGCCATGTTGTTTCCCATCATGCCTTGCGCGATCGTGTAAGGAACGAGCACGCGCCCCTGGAGTCGAGGCTGCGTCATGGGCACTTGCTATTGGTTGTGTATTGCGCGCGCATCTGCTTTGCCTAATGTAAGTAGCGCGCATTATATATGTTGCATAATTACCCGAAATACATGCATATTCATAGTCTAATCCCCTGACGTACCATACCGCGCCGTATCCCGCGGATTGAATCATGATGTACTGTACAATATTGCAAAAGTGCTGGAAAAGATATTGTCAGTGCCGAATTGCTAAAGTATGGACCCGAGATGATTGCTCAAGAAATTGCCAGAACTCTGAATGAAACCGCTAGCGTATAGCACTGGCATCTACCCTGACGACATCAAAGAAGGTATTCTCGTTCCTCTTCCTAAGCCAGGCAAACCAAAGGGACCCCCAGTGAACATAAGGCCAAACGTTCTTCTAACAATTATCCGGAAAATAATGGCCATTTGTTTGACGAAGAGAATCGCCGACAGATTAGACGACCACATACCAGCTTCCCAAGCAGCCTATCGACACGGCAGAGGCACCACTGAGCAGGTCTTTGCCTTAAAGATCTTAGCAGAGAAGGCCATCACAGCCGATAGCTATGAACGATATATAAAAGAGTGGTTCTCTTTGAGGATCTTAAAGAGATACTAGAGCAAGACGAACTCCACTTACTGGCAATATTGCTTAGGGACGTTCGATTGCAAGTCAGAGTGGGAACTATCTTGGGTAAACCCTTCAAAACCAACATCGGCGTGCCTCAAGGAGACTGCCTAAGTCCCATTCTCTTCACTCTATACCTGGCAAAAGCACTGAGACAACTTGACCCGGAAACACCCGAGACACCATTCACTCTTCAGGATCTCAATTACTACTTGCAGACACAGTCCCAATCCCTTGCTGTGGAACTCGAGAACCACAGCTACGCTATTTGCCCGCCAGCATACTTTGAGATGGGATTACAGTATGCTGATGACATCACTTGGGCAAGTAAAAATATCCACCCGATAGCAACTGTGGAGAGGAAGGCACCTGAGGTACTAAAAGACCGAAACCTCACAGTAAACACGTCTAAGACAGAGAAACACCTCATCAGTAGAAACGGAAGCAACACCAGTTAAAAGAAATGCAAATATCCTGGGATCTTTTCTCGACACTGAGCAAGATATTACCAGGAGGAAAATACTTTCGATGGTATCTTTCAACAAATTCAGGAATGTCTTCAACAGTGATGCAATCTCAAACAACACGAACTCAAAACATTCCGTGCCTTCATAGCATCTGTATTTCTATACAACAGCGATCTATGGACATTGACTAACTCACTAGAAGAGAACATTGATAATTTCACAGAAGACTCTTGCGTTCAATCCTTAATATAAAATGGCCCAAGAAGATCACCAATAAAGAACTGTACAGGAGAACCAACGAGATCCCTTGGAGTACTACCATTACCCGAAGACGTCTTAGGTGGATAGGCCATCTCCTGAGACTACCCGAGGAAGCTCCTGCCAAGCAAGCACTTCTAGAGGCATGCAATCCGCAAGAACAAGCTACCAAGAGGGGGACAACGAACCACATGGCTGAAGAGAGTAAACAAGGACCTGACAACCACGGGGGTCAACATCAAGGATCGATGCACCTGGCACGTGGCATCAGACAGAGAACAGAGGAGAACACTTACAGAGTGCGCGATGTCAGATCAACTTGACGCAAGCGCCTAGATGTACAATATGTGTGTATACATGTAACCATCTCCATGATGTAGGGGTGCGTGTGTACGTGTGTACGTGTGCGTGTGTTGCCAGCCCGGTCCAGGCAACTTCTCCGCCATTTCTCCGTCGTATTTTACGAACCAAACAGCGCGAGCGTACTGCAATGCTACCCCGGGCGCGACCGGCGCCGCACACGGCCGGCTGGCAACCCGCGGCTCGGCCGACAGCAGACAATTATCCACTGCATGTCCGAAACTTCCAGCCAGTCGTATGGCGAGCTACCAGACTATTGTGCAATTTTATGGCAGATCTGTTTCGTGTGTGCGCGTGCGTGATGAGGAAATTACATACACAATTGGCGCACGCGCACTAGTTTCCCCCATTTTTCGGGGGGAAATTTAAAGCTATGGTCCATCGTTTGCAGACATCCGAAAAGTAACTGGCGTAATTATTGTTGAAAAACAAACTTGGTTGAAAGATAGTAAGGGGACTAAACTCCCTGTGAAATTATTCTTTCTGGGAAGCTGTCATTTTGAAGTAATCAACGAAAGAAGGCATTTCCAACGGTGATTCTTAAGAAGCACCGTAGGAAAATTTAAATTAGTAGTTCGTTTTGTTATTCAGCGCAGCGCGCACAAGTATTGGAACGACGCACACGCGCGCGCGGTTGTTATAATTCGTCGGATCAGTGCGCGACGTCGCGTATAGCTGCAATTCAAAACAATTCAAAACATGATTCAGTAACTTTGGATTTGAAATTGAGATCTTAGAATGCTGTTTTTCTCGGAATGTACAGCTGAAGCTTAGCTGAAACTTCATCAGGGTAGTTGCTCAGTATCCTTCATTAGATTTTGAACTCTTTTGTTGCTTCAAACGAACAAAATGCACAAATTACAAATGATGGACTGTAGCTTTAAGCAAGTACCCTAGACCACTGATCTCTATATTAAGACTGGATAGCGGATATCCATACAGCATTCACACAGTAGACTTTGCATATTGGCCAATTCGCCCCCGGTCTTACGAAGATGGCTGCGTATAATACGAACGTTCAGCGCGTATATACGCGCGCGTTGTATCAACAGTTGACGCGCACTTTAGTCACGTACACATTATTATGATGTTCTAAAAGGGACACATTTCCGTAGTGATTATTATTTCCAAAACGCCGAAAAAAAGTGAACTGCGGCATTAAACAAGTAAACCACGTCGTTAGAAAAATTGTAAACCTTGGTCAGTGGTGGTGGTCAAAATAAATTTTTTATAAGTTAAGTGAACTGCGATGTTACAAAAGAAATCATGCTGTCTATAAAGACGGCAACTTGTCCTTTGTAGATCACCAGCCGGTCTCACTGGTCTCACCAATATGGCGTCAAATTCATTCATTGTGCGGCTCTTTATCCGCTATCCAGTCTTTATATAGAGATCAGTGAGTCTGCCCGACGTGATCACGCTTTTTGCCGTTGAGTAATCCATCTTGCGCCGCAAGCGGCGTTATAGGATCTTTGGTGCGTACAGGCCACTGATCTCTATAAAGACTGGATAGCGGATACCCATACACCATTCACACCGTAGACTTTGCATATTGAACAATTCGCCCCCGGTCTCACGAAGATGGCCGCGTATAATACGAACGTTCTACGCATATTACGCGCGCGTTGTATCAACAGTTGACGCGCATTTTGGTCACGTACACATATTATGATGTTCTAAAAGGGACACATTTCCGTAGTGGTTATTATTTTCAAAACGCTGAAAAGTGAACTACAGCATTAAAAAAGTAAAGCACGACGTTAGAAAAATTGTAAACCTTGGTCAGTGGTGGTGGTCAAAATATAAGTTAAGTGAAACGCGATGTTACAAATCAGTCATGCTGTCTGTAAAGGCGGCAACTTGTCCTTTGTAGATCACCAGCCGGTCTCACCGGTCTCATCCACTGATCTCTATCGGACTGGATAGCGGATATCCATACAGCATTCACACAGTAGAGTTTGCATATTGGCCAATTCGCCCCCGGTCTTACGAAGATGGCTGCGTATAATACGAACGTTCAGCGCGTATATACGCGCGCGTTGTATCAACAGTTGACGCGCACTTTAGTCACGTACACATTATTATGATGTTCTAAAAGGGACACATTTCCGTAG